GTAAAAGAAACAAGGCACACACCTTGGTATTGTTGAGGGTCTTTTGTGTATCTATTCAATTAAACACACACACACACACAATTTTCTGTAAAGGATGGTAAGTTACTTTGGGGATACTGGTTAAAACAGAAATTCTAACAGCTTGGATATTCTTTTTGGTGACCACAGACTGCCCAAGCCTCTCCAGGAGTGGAATAACATTTGGGAACAGTAGGTCATGCAGAGTGCAGGCAGCTCTGACATTTTTATCTTTGTCCAGCCAGCTAACTTCTGTTCTGCTTTAACTTAGGGTTTCTAGTTCTACACAGCTTCTAATGTCAAAAAGCTAATGAAACTGTGTTCTACCTTTTTTCTATGAATAGTTCCTGTTACCTATCAAGTTTTATGTCTAAGATTGCCAGTTCATATAGCCAAGCATGAGAATATGACTGGCCCATTTCATCACTTTTATTCAGATGAAGTAGCACTCCCATTGATGTACAGGCCACCCTCTGTGTCTTGATTCAGTCCCTGGATTCAAACTCCACTCTTGGAACAAATAACCTATGGCAGGCAGGCCAGGTCAAATAAAAAGAACATTGTACTATCAAGTTCTAAGAGTACTGGGGCTATTATCACAGACCTATGTTCTAAATTCTGGACTGGTCTCTCCATTATTGTTTAGTTATAAGGTTTCTGGGTTTAGACTTTATGTTAAGTATGTCATGGTAAATTATAGTCCTTTTAATTTAGAAGTCAGTTTATAGTTCCATATTATTCCATGCTTTTGAATATGTCTGTAATATTTCTAATTTTATCTTTGCATTGAAATGAAATGATAAATATTCACATCGATCCAAAAGTTTTTTATTTCTTAATTTTCTTAAGATGTTTCAAATGTGATACACATTATAATCCTTTCCTTACCTGATGAGCAGTATAGCCTTTTTCATTCACCCTCAGCATTTCAATTACATTTTACCATCACACCTTCTGACTATGAAGGTATGCAGATATGTCACAAAAAAAGATTGCCAGGATTCAAATTAGAGTATCTACAAGGACATTTCAGTGTTATCTAGAACACTAACAAGAAAATCAAATGCAGCTCTTGCAAATTTTAATAACAAGAATCTTGGCCAAATCAATGTTAATGTCATTTTTATACTTGGAAAAACATGAAGAACACAATTATGTAGGCTAAAAAATCAATAACTTGACTCAGACTTTAAGATAATACATTAAAAAGATGATTTCAAGTATTATTCATTTAAAAAACTTCTATGAAAAGATTAGTTTTACCTTAAGACTTGTGACCAGCGGCAACATTCTAACTTGAGGGGCTGGGGTTTGGAAAGCTGTTTGCAACTATGAAACAGTCAAAACTAACTAGCCATTAGGAAATGGAATCCATGACCTTCATCTCATTAGTACTTGGCTTAACCCAAACAATGAGCTATAAATTGATAATATTCTGATACCTAGCAGATGGATGGGTTTTCACCCCTTACTTAAAATTCCTTTCTTGGTTCTATATCATTTGTATTGAAACATAACAATGTTCTGTGAGAAGGGTGGGGAGAGCTATGACTGTCAAAAAGACCTTCGAAATCAATTACTGTCTTTTCTAACTAGTTTTTTTTTTGTGTGTGTGTTTGTTTGTTTGCGTGTTTTTGTCTATTTAGGTACAGAATAAACTGAAGTCATAGGGTGGGATGGAATTGGAGTATACATAAATACAAAGAAAGGACCAAACCAGAGACATTCTATAGGGGAGAGAAGAGGGAAACAAGATCAAAACTGGAGGGAAGCACACATGCTTCTATGGTGATGGCACATGGGTGAAGTGGTGGTCAAAAGTCCACCGGGTTATAACTGTGATGAAAAAAATGTACAAAATGAAAAATAATGTAAAAGATATATTTATAAAATAAAAGAAAGGGATCTCCCAGGTGGCGCAATGGGTTAAATCACAGCACTATGAGGCTAACTGTAGTTGCTTCTGCTTCCAGTTCAATCCCCAGGCAGGGAGGTGACCTGCATGGTGCAGCAGACCTCTTCTGTCTTACCCTCTGCTCCCCTCAGCAGTGTGTACGTTGTCAATCTGCCTGTTCTGCTCCCCATTCTGTCTCTGATGAATCCTCTCACGTACCCTGCACCTCTGGCCTATACCCCAGTTCTGTATCTATAAACAATAAATATTTAAAGAAAATAAAAAAGAGGCCCCTGAGCAATGAGATATTTAAATAATAATAATAATAATAATAATAAATACAAAGAAAAAGAAAAGAGAAAGGTATAAGTTAATCCTTTAGCGGTTTAAGTTAATCCTTTAGCTTTGGATATCAGGGAACGTCTAGATCTGGTCTGAAGGACGGACTTGGCAGTAGATCTGATAAGACAGAGCAGGGTAGAATGGGAAAGGTGGGGTAGAGTGCTGGTGCACTGATGAGATGAACTGATGATGGAAAAAAGAAATTCATTATAAGTTATTGACCAGTGACTAAAGGGTGGGATCGTGAAGGAACAGTTGGGAAGCCTTTACAAGCATGTTACCTTTTAGGGAACAGATGAAGAAAGATCCTAAATAGTAAATAGTTATCAGTTTATACGAAGCATGGCCTAGTGCTATATACATTCAAACACCTCATCCCGCCTCTGTCTTCCACAGTGACACCAAAGAATTCTTTGTAGAAAGCATTGGTAACTTTTTTTAAAGTCATTGTTTGTAATGTGAGTGTGTTCAAAAAATTCACTATCCTTAACATATCTTGGGAACAACTGAGATGAAACCTTTGAGATTTTACAGTTGAGCTCTGAAGTGAAAGACAACATATTGCAGAGAGTCTCAACATATCTTTTTATTATTATTATTGAACCACCATAAGGGCACAGTTCCCTGGCAAGATTTGCTCTCCAAACCTTCAGCCCTTCATTCATTCTTTCTCGGCTGCATCCTCAGGGGAAATGTGGAAGCCTGTAACCCTTACACTTACACTTTATGAATCAGTTTAGCTATGACTTTTCCTTGGAAAATCTCCCCTTCTTGCCACAGGTGCTCTTCAGTAGTACCGACTCGGCACACCCCTTCTCCAGCTTTTCTTGTGCTGCAGTGCAATGCTCAGTTCACTGGGCTGTCTCCCTCACCAGAATTCCTTGTGGCCTACTTAGGATTGTCGGTTATTCCTCAGTACTCTGTAGAGTGCTTAAAACAGGTAAGCTATTAATATAAGTTTACAGGCTGTCAAATCAACATGTCTGAAAATATATGCGGGGTAGAAAGATCCAGAAATTATCTAGAGAGAGTGAACTAAAACAGATTTTTAGAGAGAGGAATCTCTAACTACTTTTAGTTTCCTTGTGCATAAGTTCTTATTTTTGTACATAGTTCATGACTCTCCTGTATTCTCTGCCTTTGGCCATTTTACTGATTGTTATTCAAGGGTTAGCAAGAAAAACAGAGGCTGAATTTCAGATCAAGGTAATTAGGCTGTTATCAAACCACTCTGGAAAAGCTTGGATGTGGTGGGTGGAAGCATAGTTAACTGGTGATCTGAGATTATCTACAGCACACACTAACCCAGCCTTTCTCACTACACAACCCAAACTAATGACTGTCCAACAGATGAGGCAGATTTTATAAGCTCAGCTTCACAGGGTTTGCTCCTTTGTTCTTGAGTACATGTCAAGCCATATGTCCTGATTTTGGGTTTGGAGAATTTGGTCACTACATTGACAGAAGAAATAGTCAGTGGTCTCCTCTTGGGTAATTTCATGGTCCTAAGGAAAGAATTTAACAGTTTATTTTCTGAAACTGGTTCAAGGAACATTCCTTGAGTGAAAAAATTCAATCAAGAATAATATTACTTACATTTTGGAGAAGGATTTTTAATACAGAATTTACATCTGTGATATATTTAAATTCTAGGCCTCAGGCAGCAATTTCAGAAAAGGACCTCCTTTACCCTTTATTAAATGCAAAATAAATAATCCACTCTGCAGGGTGGGTCCTAGCCTTCACATCCCCACCACCACAAAATGTAAGACTTGCTTTCCCGGTTGCTGAAATCACACGTGCTACTCCCCCCTGACACAGTAGACTCTGCCACTAGCATTAAAATGTTTCTCCCAACTTCAATTACTTGCGTTATTTTGAAAGTACCTGTATCGAAACACTAGCAAAGGAGGATGGTGAGCTGCCCAAAAGGAGACCTGTAGTCAATGCATGGAAAGCTGTCGATAGAAAATGCAATGTGATTCTCTCGATCTAGTTGCGATGCCTTCGCAGAGACGGGCTTCGCTATTTTGGAAAGCTCAGCCATGTTGAGTGAATACATGAAGAGGGTACTCCTGGACCTTATTGCCAAGGTACTTTAACCCTGATGTGTACGTTAATATACAGATCCCAGTATATTTCGAAACAGAGGCCTAACATGTTGAAGTTGTCAATAAAGTGCAATACCTAAGAAAAGGAAAGAATGCACAAGTTTTACTCGCACACTTTATCACGCCTTCTTCCAGTCCGAAAAGAGGAGGTTCCACTTGGTAAGAACAGGAAACTTTGTCTTATTTTTCATGACCTGTAGCATGCATTTAACCTTTGGGTCATTCTGGAGCGGACTATGGCCCCCTCTTTAATGGCCGACTGTATGCACTTCAGAGCACAGGGTGGATTAGCTGCACTAAGAATTGCCTTAAAAAAAAAAAGTAAAGTGAAAAATAGACAAAGAAATCTATAACCTTAGCAGTCTTTCATATTTGTTTTGACTGTTCTTAAACCAGTTCTGAGCCGCTGACAAGGATATGGTCAAGATGCACCTGAAACAGTATCTGAGGGCAGCTGCATTTGCCAAGCGGCTTTATTGCTGCTTTCCAGCGGCGAAGGCGCAGCAGCAGTAACAGGGAAACCAGAGCGAGCCTCCCCGGCAGCGGCGGCGGCGGCGGCGGCGGCGGCGGCACCGGCACCAGCGCAGTTTCCCCTCTCCCCAGCCCTGACTCTACGCGCACATGCGCACTGCGCCCGCAGCCCTGGACCATTTGTCAGGACTACTCGTGAGACGGAGAAAAAAAAAAAGAGAAAATTTGGGGGTAAGAAGCGGTTGATCGGATCTAATCTTTAATGAATCTAAAGATTTGTCCGTGCAAAAGCCATTCATTTATTTTTCTGGGTGAGGATGAAAGTTAAGAGACCTAGAGAGAGAGGGAAGCGCACCCTCGTCTTGTGAAACAGATCAGGGGAGGGGAAAGGACAGAAGGGGTTTCTCCCCCACTTCACTGCGCCTCTGGGAAAGAGGAGAAAACTTAATCCCGGGGAAAAAAGTGGGCAAGTGACTCAGAAACGGCTGGAGGGAGAGTCTCTGGGCATCTCACTCTGAAGTAGTGAGTGCGAGTGTGAAAGAGGAACAAAAGAGAGAGAAAAGAGAAAGGAAAAAATGGGGGGAGGAGAGACTTGTATTTTTTTCTTTGCGCGCACACGGGGAAGGGTGTGGGGGGCCGTGCGGAAGGGAGCCGGGGCGAGGCGGCCGCGTCGGGCTCTCGCCGGCGCGCAGGCGGCGGGAT